TGACAATCCTCAGACGTGTGTTGTGGAATTTGCGGTACGTCCGATTGCCTAACCAGAAACGGGATGTTCGGAGGCCACATTGTTAATTTTGTTTGCATTGATGATCATGTTGACTGTTGTTTTCTAATGACCAACAAAAACAACAACACGGCACATTATTTTACAAGCGCATTTTATTTGGTGTATTTTCCTTTCAGAATGATCGGGTTCATCACTTCTAGACTTGCTATAAACGTTTATCTCCGTGAATCTTCTCCCTCGCCCGCAAAGTGACTAGCATTTGTCACCATTAGGGTCACTGCGACACCCGTGAAGATTCGAGCGAATTCGGCAGTAGTCAAACTGATTCTTCAACGCGACTCAGACCTGTGACGGCCACAAGTGAAGGATAAATACAGGCTGTTGATCTTCAAATACCGCAGTCGACATCGCAACGAATTTGATGCGAAAACTATTAATGCAATGTCGAGATTAGAAATCGCGCAATCGCTCAGGTGCTCGACCTCCACAGATTACAACGATTGACTTGTCTGCTACACCGGCCACCGAAAGGTCTCAATAGCATACCATGTTTACCAAAACAGGTGACGGTTGGAGGAAGACAAAATTCGATTTGGCGTAAAGGTGTGAAGACCTGGACCAGATGATTTGATCATATTGATTGCTTAAGGCTTTCCGATTGGGTAACTTGAGATGAGAAACCTTGGTGAGATAACTGACTGTAGTTAACGTGGCGCGCGTGCATTTGCTCAATTTCTACGCACGTTCCGGATTTCCGCATTCTGTATCTTTTGTAGCGTGCAAGACCTAGGCGGTGCCGGTACCATCGATTCGTGATACACGGCAGAAGGTTGATTCTGAGTAACACGATCCGTAGTTTCTTGTACCAATAGCACTGTTAGAATACCGCGTAGAAAACCTTTTTTCGGAGTGTCGAATCACCTCGTAAACATGGCCTAGCACAGACGCTTTCGATGCACCGGTAGAAAGCACTTGGGACAACCGGTTCCTTATGGAGGGGGAATTTCCAAACAGCTTGCAAAACAGGAAAAATACAAAACCACCATGAAAAAAGATCCAGTGAGAGGTGCACACGAGTTACTCTCAATCGAAAATGGCAGTGACCTGCTCAACGTGCCCAGTGTTACCCCTTATCTGGTTGCTATTCATGTTTCCGTTTCGTAAAGCTTCCTTCACTCTAGCCGATTAAACAGACAGCCAAATGTAATGGTTGTAGAAACGGATGTCGAAACTGACTGATCTAACTCTATGGTCGTTTTTGCAAGAACAATGGAGTATCTAAAGTCTCATGGTCTCATGGTAGATTTCGTTTTGTCATTCTAATTTGATTCTGACTGTGACACAGGGGACATGGCATCGTTCATCAGAGTGCATGATGTTTCAACACGTTTCTAAAAACCTCGCCGATCCGTTATAATGTATGAGGTTGCGCTAAACGTACAATATACGAACAGATCAGTGTGGATAGGATTCCTTCAAAGCCTGCGTCATTTTGCCATCTGCGGGAGGATGGTATGCGGACCTCGTGAAAATCGACCGTTGTAAAAACGGATAAATAGATTGACCCCGAGCTATTAGCTATCTTCGCTCCATCCTCGCTTCGGTTTTTTTCATGTATTGTTTTATCTTCTTTGATAAGCTTCTCAACTACTGTCTTAAAGTACGATCTAGTGGCTCAAATGCGTTGTTCATGTGTGTCCAGTTTGTATCGCTTTTGTTTAAGGCAGACCCTTCTGGTGCTCTTTCCTTTTGTATAATTTTCTCGCTGTTCGTGCTGAGTCTACTTATTTGCTTTTTAGTAGTCAGAAGATGGTTCAGCAAATGTTTGTGTTCGATTTCCCTTTGCTTTCTCTTGCAGGTGGATTTCGAATTCAAATCATTACTGCACTCAAAAGTTGCTGGACTGTTTTTTGATCAGGTCGTAGCCATGATGGTGAATGCGTTTATGGAACGCGCACGTCGTCTTCACGGTTCCCCAGCAATTCCTCCACAGAACCCCCAAGTACTGATGTACAAACGATGACTTGCTGTTGATCCGGTACGCCCGCGGATCGTGAAAACAGCTGTTTGCATGCACACACTTTTACGCACCGAGAAATCGAAGCGCCTTTACTTGAGTCTACCGTTTTAATCTTACCTTTATGTTCTTGAGAGTTTAAAGTCCCTTTATTTTTCTACTTTCCACTCCCTCGAGTACTAGTTGGGGTCGAACAGCCAGGTGGTTACTATACTACCCCCTAAAAATGTTTTGTGGTGAAAATCTGCTCCATCTTCAAACTTGAACAGTCCTTTTAGTTTTTTTAATTCTCTTGACTTCACTCAATTTGTTTGGCTCCATGAAATCAAAAATGAAAACCACAGTCCACTAGTGGTATTGTATACGGCTAATTTGAAACTAGCTTAGTTTCTACTTTTTCTATGGAGAAATATCAACAATTTTGGGATTCTCTGTGCTCTTCTTTTCTCATCTTCCCACCGCCAGCAGGAGTGGTAATTTATTTCACCTTGTGTATATGTTTGTGTGAGTGATTAAGCGGTGCTACTCGCCTGGTTGTTGTTGTTTGTGTAAATGCACTTTTCCAATCAACAGACTGTGGACTGGAACCCCGTTGGTTATTCTAACCATCTCCGTGATTTGTGGGTTTGGTTCACTGGCGCCTCAAACTGCGGCTGGAACATACGAGGCCTCTACTTTCATGCTATAGGATATCTCATGAAAATAAGTCGCGTGATGTTTGCATTTTGCAGGGACTGGTGAATAGTTATCGTACTGATAATTTGTGCTCAACCGCATCTATAGAACCTCAGTCGTTTGTTTACTGACAGTGCTTCCATGACGTAACACTTCGGAAGCATTTTTTTGGGCAGTTGTGGTCACAAATTCACTCCTGAAACAATATTTTTCTCTCAAAGCTTTTGATGTAAAGCAAACTTGATCATGATTTTGAAGCAGCTCCAACAGTTTATGCATATAATGTTCGTGAAAACAAACGAGAGCACATCAGAACAATTCTCACCTATTGTCAAGATCCCCAAAGTTGAAAGAGATGCAGTTAGGCTATCTGATTTTTGTAAACGCTCCTCACTCGACCACCATTCATACTCATGAACTGTATACTCTAACGTCCGTCGTGACCTCTACTCACATATAGCAAAAAGATAAGAAGATAAAGTCGTTTGTGCAAGGAGTGCGAAAACACGGCAAATTATTTGCCAGGTCCACGGGGAAGTCTTTAGGTTCGATCGTCGGTTATCGAAGCACTTGGCGGATTAAAATCTATGGGTTTCAGCGGATAAGCTGATACACAAAGTGGTGCATACTGCAGTCTGTGGCAGTTGTCGGTTTACTACGATAAGCGAGAATCTACAACAGGATTTTTTGATGTCTGTTTAGAAGTGCCTTCGTCATCGCATCATTTTGAAAACAAGAAGACGGCTTTCTGAACGACCAGTGTTTGTCTTTGGACTCCACAACGATCGTTCATTCCTCGGATGACCGACTGCGTCGAAAGATCAGCATTGATGTGACTGGTGTGGAAGACAATAGAGGATTATGATGTGGCGCAATGTAGCAACTCTTTAGCATGGAAAAATAAAGGATTCAGGTGTGAATTGTAATAGGTTATAAGTACACAAACGGAAAAGTGTGTCCACATGATGAGGCGGTACGGGTTTGTTATAGCTTAGGGAGCCATTTGGTCTGATGGTCAGAGTTACCTGGAGATCACGGATGGTGAATTTGAAGTACTCGAAATGTTGCATCGACAACTTGAACTGTTTCTAGAACAGAGGTCAGCTTCCGTTATCGACAATATACAATAGATTTGCAACCTTTCTTTATGTTTCCCAGCTAGCGTGTCCTACTTTATCCTAATACCGGTGCACCGCCGAGAATAACGTGTGGCGTTTTGCTATGGTACTCGGTCATACGGGGAATTTTCGTCGCCTCTCGTGCATTCAGGTTATATTGAATTCTGTTTCAAAGAGGATAAGATCAAAAAGCGTTTCATACGCGAATATCAAAGATTTATTTGTTCAGTGTAACCTCCAGTTTGTCACAGAGGATTGACAACTGACTAGCAGAAAGTTAGAGAGATAAACGAAATGGGAACGAAGGTCGTCCGAGTTGACCGCTCACAAAAACGAGGTCGTCGGATTGCATCTCTTTCTACTAGAATGCAATGTCAAACATCAGTGTAATATATATATATATATATATATATATATATATATATATAT